CCCCAAAACCCCAAAACCCCAAAACCCCAAAACCCCAAAACCCCATACTAAGCTCTTTTGGCTGAGTTTAGAGAAACTAATGAATTATTGGCTCTTCTCATCGAGCAAAGAATCGCATTTACCCATAATGCTTAATATACCTTGGCTTGGGTTGTTAATTGTCCTCGAAGAAAAAGTCCTCCTCATTGGTTTTTTAGGACCTAAATTTGGATTTTTCTTAACCCCTTTTGATTGAGGTTTACTCTTAATCTCTGGTAGTTTCAATGGAGATGGGCAATAAAATTTTGACTTCGAGTTGAAGTTAGTAGGAGAATACTTCAGATCCTTTATATCTGCATTAAGCCACTTAGCACCTTTCTTTGCAATAGGTGTTGATTGGACAAAATCTATATCTTTCTCTTTTATCACCATCGGAGTAAAGTTGGCTGTGCTTGTAGACTTTTTTAAATAATTTGTTTCTGCTAAAACAAGAGTTAAGCTATCTCATAGAGAAAATAAGTTGGCTTATTATTACTTGTAATAATGAGAGTAGCTTTTAAGTTAGCCAGCTCGACCAGTGAACGGTTAAGAGTATTTATATGAAAGATATGGCCAGTACGAATTTACCTAAAATGTCACTGAAATCCAAAAATCCCTGAGAAGCGAGATTCCGCTCTCCATTCTGCTGACTTTTCTCTACAGAATAAGTGCACTTAGTCTCTGAAATAGAAGGTAGCTCAATGGATTTAAATGTGAGTGATAAATCAGAATAGTTCTGTTGTCGAAACTTTGCCATTGCCTTTACTCTAGCACCCATTTCCATTCGTTTCTAAAGAAATATCGTAACCGATGTACTTACTTTCAGATCCATAGAACTATCAGAAAAGAAGTCACCAGTAACCGCACCAGACGGCTTCCTTTCAACTATCGGAGCATTATACTTCGCCTATAACATAAACCCCTTCCATTACCTTTCCCACATTCTTAACTACCCCATACCCAGAGTAAGGCTTGACCCCCTGCTCAGATCTTCACTCCAAACCATCTTTCCTCCTAATAAACTGTTCATATCTCTCACACGTATCCTCTAAACCCAAAATCTCATCCTGCCTCCAAGCCCACTGGCCCTCCCAAAATCCTACCTTTATCCCTCTTATTTTCTTCCTTAATTAATTTCTTCCTGCGGTTCATTCAGCTGTAAGCTAGGTTAATAAATAAATTTTCAACTTGTTTCAATATTTTTGGAATAAGTAGGGGTTTTGGGGTTTTGGGGTTTTGGGGTTTTGGGGTTTTGGG